AGAGCTGAAGGCCGCTATTGAAGCATCCTGGTCTTCCATAACACCTCAGCAGTGCCACAGGCTGATAGCTTCCATGCCACGCCGCATTGAGGCAGTAATTGCTGCAAAAGGGGCCCAAACCAAGTACTGAGTACATATGCATGCTTATACTTTTCAGATGTCCGATGTTGTTCTATGTACAATCCTTGTTTTATTGATTGCTTGTAATATTCTAATTTTCTGAGATTGTGGATTTGGAGTTTTCATGAGCTGTAAGCCATAATCATCATAATTATGACAAATCACGGCTTGAACTATCTTGCTTTGCATGTAATGAGTCTATCTCATATATTAGTTTCACCTTTTAAGTTGCATTACTGAAATAAACATTTGCACGATATTCTAATTTTTCCGAGTTTCACCTGTAAATTCTTTAAAAAATCATACAATGTGATTTCCTGAATTTTTTTTTAATTCTGTCTCTCAGAGTGGGAATGCACCTACAATGTGAATTTCAGACCCCTCCATGATTTCTAAGTGGAAAACTTGCAAAATCGCAGGGTGTTCAAATATTTCTGTTCCTCACTGTAATCATCACAAAGTATTGGTCCAAGCAGCAGGCAGGAACATCAAGCTTAGGGCCTTGGTCAGGTAGGACCGGGGCACAGGGGTAGAGGCTTCATCCCACCCAATCTCTTCGGAGCATCCAAACAAACAGACCCTGTTCCGGGAATTACAAAACCCGGAGAAAACCAAAAACTGTTTTTTCTCTATTCTGAAGCCCCTCACATATGTGAGACCCCTGTGTTTTCTTGAATCCCACTACTGAAGTAGCAGGGCAAAAGATCAATCCAAGCAGCAGGCAAAAAACATTGTCGATTTAACAGGCTGAAGTCAGTCCACGAAGAAGGCATAAACGTGGTTGATAATCCAGATGGAAGGCAGAAGCATAGTTGATAAACAGGCCATGGTCAGTTCTGGTGGAAGGCAGAAATGTGGTTTAGAAGTAATTCATACGGTAAGCAGAGGCATTGTCGGTAAACAGGCCAGGGTCAGTTAAGATGGAAGGCAGAGGCATGGTCAATCAAGGCAGCAGGCAAAAGATCAGCACAGATAATAAAAATGGGGAAATTGCAGGCTGTTAAAAATATGGGGAACTAATATCTTACTACCGTATGATAACGTCGGAAGCAGTCTCCGATGCATAGGCCTGGTTGGGAGGGACATTGGGGACAATGAAAACTTGTGTCTCTCCTAACTCCCCCTCTGTTGCATACCGTACATTTTTTCGGCATCTTCTTCCTGTTTCTGATGGTGGAATATTCTCAGGGAAATGGCGTTCATGAAGTCTGCTGACACAATCGGAGCAAATGATTTGTGGTGGAGATCCTTGCTGATAGATTAGGGCAGTGAAGACGTCTTCTATAAATTGAGGAAGGTGGTAGGTCTTTCCATTGACTTTTGATAGGTGATGTATGCATTAAAAATGGCCATGTAGAAAAAGTATATGGCAACTTTTTTGTACCAGTAGAGGGACTTCCTTGTTGATAAATAGGGCTGCAGCATCTTATTGTTTAAATCCACCCCCCCGACCCCATGAATTCATTATAATTGTGGATACACTATGGCTTTTGGATGGGATCTTGTCTTCTATGAATTTCCACCATGGTTTCATTATGGATAGTGGACAGGGCATAAACATCTCTCCTATCCCTCCACTTCACGGCCAACACTTCCTCATTCCTCAGACTTGCAGATTCCCCTCTTTCTAGAATTGTGTTCACTAAATTTTGTGGGAAGCCCTTCCTGTTTGTTCGGGTGGTACCTCAGGCCATCGTTTTCTCAAGGTACAGGTGGTTGAAAAGGGGCAGGCTTGTGTAATAATTGTCTAGGTAGATGTGATACCCATTTTGGAAAAGTGGAAAGGCCAGGTCCCAGACAATTTTTCCATTTGTGCCAATGTAGGGGGGCTGGAGCTGGGAGTCTTTGCCTTCATACACGCGAAAGGCATGCACATATCCCATGGCACTTTCACAGAGCTTATTGAGCTTCAGTCCATACCTGGCCCTTTTACTGGGTATATATTGCTTGAATCCCAGCCGGCCAGTAAAGTGGACAAGAGATTCGTCCACACAGATATTTTGGTCAGGGACATAAAGTTAAAACAATATTTTAGAAACAAAATTAATTAGCGAGAGAATTTTATACAGTTTGTCATAGCCAGGCTGATCTCGGGGAGGGCACTGGGAATTATCACTGAAATCTATGAAGTGCATTATCATTTTTAGCATGACTTGGACATTACAGATGAAAAGATGGGAATGTGATGGATGGGGTGGGTGGACCAATATGAATGTAACTAATTTTTTTTTTGTAAGCCCCATGTTGATAGTTAGGCCCAAAAACAATTTAAACTACTCTACTGTTAGCCGTCTCCACTCAAATGGATGGGCATAGCATGAATTGGGGTTGTCTGCGATATATTGTTGGGCAAATAGGTTAGTCTGATCTACAATTAATTGAAGGAAATTATCATGGAAAAATAAATAAAAAAAATCAATTGGGGAAAATTTTTCTGTGTTGGGCTGCACGCCTGGTTGTGTGGTAAAAGGGTGGATTGTAGCTGATCCTGAGCTGGAAGGCAGCCACAAAGGGTTTGCCAAAGTGTCTGGGAGGTATGTCTGGGCCCTGACTCTTGGGGTCTGGCGTGATATTCCAGTGCTGGTACTGGGCATTTCACCCTGAGGTCTAGCTCTGTTGGCATTTGCTGATTGACCATTTGGGTGTAATGGCATTGGTACGTTGGTGCTGCTCATGGTTGCCTGGTCTTCAGAGCGTCTTACTCTTTTAGGAGGAACTGCTTCCTCTTCCGATTTGGTCACCGATACACTGCTTTCTATTGGCTCGTATTCCAAATTGAAATCGGATGGTGAGAGCTCCCTGCTACTCTTGTTCATCATGCTGAGGATTTGGAAAGCCTCCTCATTAGTGTAATATTTTTTGACATCTTGGTTGTATGACAGGAAACTGTGATGGGTACACTGCTGATGGGCAGCAATGATGGTGGCTCTGTTATGGGTACTCTTATTAGGCTGCACTGATGAGAGGTATACTGATAGGCTGCACAGGTGTATGCGCTGACAGGTACACTGATAGGCTTCCCTTATGGATGTGCTGACAGGTACACTGATGGGCTGTACTGACTGGTATGCTGATGGGCTGCACGAAAGGTACACTGATGGGCTGGCGACAGGTAGGTTGATGGTCTGGCGACAGGTACGCTGATGGGCTGGTGACAGGTACGCTGATGGGCTAGCAACAGGTACGCTGATGGGCTAGCGACAGGTACGCTGATGGGCAGCTGTGACAGGTACGCTGATGGGCAGCTGTGATAGGTACGCTGATGGGCAGCTGTGATAGGTACGCTGATGGGCAGCTGTGATAGGTACGCTGATGGGCTGTACTGACAGGTACACTGATGGGCTGCACGACAGGTACACTGATGGGCTGTGCTGACAGGTATGTGATGGGCTTTTCAACAGGTACTTGATGGGCTGTATGACAGGTACACTGATGGGCTGTGCTGACAGGTACGTGATGGGCTATATGACAGGTACACTGACAGACTGGCAACAGGTATGCTGATGGGGCTGGTGACAGGTACACTGATGGGCTGGCGACAGGTAGGTTGATGGGCTGGCGACAGGTCTGCTGATGGGCAGCTGTGACAGGTACGCTGATGGGCAGCTGTGACAGGTATACTGTTGGGCAGCTGTGACAGGTACACTGATGGGCAGCTGTGACAGGCAATCTGGGCAGTGTGGTGAACAGTACTGAATGCAGTAACTCACTGTTCCCCTTCGGCTCCTCAGACAGGATCCGTGTGTGAGGAGGAGAAGCGGTAACAACAAGTTACCACTGTTTGTTTATACTTGTGGTCTGCTGTGATAGGACGCAGCCGATCGCAGGGTAAACAGTCAATTACCTATATCAGGGAAGCGCTGTGTCCATGGGACACAGCCGACGAGATATTGGCCCCTATTATTGGGTTACAGGGGGGCATTGTACACATTATTGGGGGTGCACACATTATTGTGGTTCCATATAGGTATTGCACACATTAATAGAGTACATGGTATTGTACACATAACTGGCGTATAAGGAGCATTGTTCACATTATCAGGGTGCAGGCAGGTGTCAGCCCACCCACTGACACCTATGACCAGCTGGTTCCATGGCACACACACCGCCTGCAGCCTTTGTCCTCTCTCCACCTGCAGTGGCCGGCTCTCCATCATTATACACTTCAGAACCATGAGTGCCGGGAACCATCCTGGCAACACCCACTGGGAGAGGGAGGTGGGGAATGACACACCTGGCAGGGAGAGGAGAGGCTGCAGCACTTCCTAACTACAGAATCTCATTTGTCAGGTCCTGGAGCTCAGTTTGAGAGGGAGTTTTCTCGGCTCTATTATATAGGTAGAGCGGGGGGCATGCAAAAAAATTAATGTCAGAGTGGCACCCCAACCCACCCCACACCAGGTGTGCACCACACACCTCACACTCCCATTAGTGCTGCCTGGAGTTAATCTTTAACCGCTTACCTACAGGGCACTTATACCCCCTTCCTGCCCAGGCCAATTTCCAGCTTTCAGCGCTGTCACACTTTGAATGACAATTGCGTGGTCATGCAACACTGTACCCATATGACATTTTTATCATTTTTTTGTGACAGATAGAGATTTATTTTGGTAGTATTTAATCAACTCTGGGTTTTTTATTTTTTCTTAAACAAACCAAAAACCACTGAAAATTTTGAAAAAAAAAGTTTTTTCTTAGTTTTTGTTATAAAATTTTGTAAACAAGTGATTTTTCTCCGTCACTGATGTGCGCTAATGAGGCTGCAGTGATGGACACTGATAGGTGGCACTGATGGGCACTGATAAGGAGGCACTGGTAGGTGGCACTGGGCACTGACAGACATCACTGATGGGCACTGAAAGGCAGCACTGATACATGGCACTGATAGGCGGCACTGATAGGTGGCACTGACTGGCACTGTTAGGTGACACTGACAGGCACTGATGCGCACTGATAGGCGGCACTGATGCGCACTGATAGGCGGCACTGATTGGCAGCACTGATAGGTGGCACTGACTGGCACTGATGGGTGACACTGAAAGGCAGCTCAGATGGGCACTGATATGTGGCATTGATGTGCACTGGTAGGCACTGATATGTGGCATTGATGAGACACTGATGGGCACTGGCATGAGGCATTGATGAGCACTGACACAAGGCACTGATGGACACTGACAGGTGGCACTGCTGGGGCTACATTGATCATCAGTGCCCTGATGATCAGTGTACATGTCCCCTCCACGGAAAGCCGATTACCGGCTCTCCTCCCCTCTCGAGCTGTTGGCATTTCCCTGTTTACATGTGATCAGCTGTGATTGATCACATGACTGAGCCAACATCTTCGGCTCTTTCTGTGATCGGTGATCCTCTGTGTCCGAGGGACACAGCGCACCGCCAATCGCCGCGCGCTCCCTGAGGTGGGAATGGGAGGACGTCATATGATGTCCTCCCAGAACGAAAGAACCGCCTTGCGTCAGTCATATTACTATATGGCGGGCGGGAGGTGGTTAAAAAAGCAAACATATTATACTTACATGCTCTGTCCCCCGCCGGCACTCCTGGCTCCTCAGACTTAACAAGTGCCCCCAGAGCAAGCAGCAACCAGAGCTGCTTCATCTGTCCATTCTCACACACAGAACGCTGCTCAGCCTCGCTCTCACATTGGATATCTGGATGTGATTGACAATAGCAGGAGCCAATGAGGAGAGAGAAACTTGGGAAAGCCGAGGCTCTCGTGCAGATCACTGGATTGATACAGTATATGGCTCTGGTAAGTATTGGGGGAGTTTGGGGGCTGCTGCACACACAAGGTTTTTTACCTTCATGCATAGAATGCATAAAATGTAGAAAACCTTGAGGCTTTACAACCACTTTAAGGATGAGCATGGGTTTTGCCCATACATGGAAACTGTCACTGATGCCAAATCAGTGCCCAATCAGATGTGACAAGGGCATTCCCTGCCCCGCAGCTGCACAGAACAAAGGGGCAGGGATGCTTTGACAGCATTGATCTAATATGACCATATAGCCATATTTAGACAATGCCATCTACCACTTTGTATGGATTGAGAAAAATGCATGGTGCTGTCTGAAAGGTGGCTGTGCCAAGCGAGCAAACTCCAGTGGTTACTTTGCAAAAGGACAGGCAGTTATCACAACACCTGGAAGACTCAAGCCATCACTTCAGTAGCTTGGGCTACCACAGTGATTTACAGATTCCACAGAGGCTGATTTGGTATCAAATACGCGCTGCAACCACCAAGAGTCCCTTGCTTGGGTATAATCATTTTGAAAAATATTTTAAATTTAATTGAAATGCCTTAATATACAGTACCTCCAGTCTATCAACCTCCAGCTTCTCTGGGTTCAGATGCTGTACTTGCCTGCACAGAGCCCTTAAAGCAATTGTAAATGTTGGATTTTTTTGTTTTTAATAACAAACATGTTATACGTACCCGCTCTTTGTAATGGGTTTTCCCCGATCCTCCTCTTCTGGGGTCCACCACTGGTGATCCTGGCTCCTCCTGCCTTCAGAGATCTGTTTGCTATGTGAGCACTTGTGCAGCTTGGGCCCACCCCTTGCTCCCTCCTCACATACTGTGTGGTCAAATACTGTGAGGAGAAAGCAAGGGGCAGGCCCAAGATGCACAAGTGCCCCCATAGCAAGCAGATCTCTGAAGGCAGGAGGAGCATTGGATCAAGATTGGTGTCAGGTAAGTATGCAGGGGGCCTGAGAGATGGTCACAGAAGGCTTTTCTACCTTTGTATTAAGGTAAAAAACCATCTGCCGTTAGAACCACTTTAACCACTTGCCTACTGTGCATGTATACCCCTTCCTGCCCAGGCCAATTTTCAGATTTCAGTGCTCTCACACTTTGAATGACAATTACTCATGCAACACTGTACCCATATAAAATGTTTGTAATATTTTTCACACAAATAGAGCTTGCTTTTGGTGGTATTTAATCACCACTGGGTTTTATTTTTTGCTCTAAAGGAAAAAAGACCAACTTTTTAAAAAAAAAAAATTGGGTTTTTTTTTTTGTTTCCCTTTATAACATTGTTTAAATAAGTAATTTTTCTTCATAAATTTTGACCAAAATTTATACTGCTACATTTCTTTGCTAAAAATAAAACCAGTGTATATTATTTGGTCTGTGTGAAAGCTACAAGCTACGGTACCAATCATTGAAAATTGATCACACCTGATCCAATTTCTTGAGGCCTAACATGCCAGGACAGTACAAATACCCCCAAATGACCCCTTTTTGCAAAATAGACATTTCAAAGTATTTAGTAAGAGGCATGGGGAGTTTTTTTGAAGTTGTAATCTTTTTCCACAAAAATCTTTGGAAAATTTAGAATTGTTTTTTCCCACACAATTGGCATTTTAACAATTTATTTCTCACACACAGCACAAGCATACTTGCAACTACACCCCAAAACACATTCTGCTACTCCTCTTGAGTATGGCGATACCACATGTGTGAGATTTTTCCACAGCCTGGCCACACAGAGAGGCCCAACATGCGCAAGGAACACCATCAGGTGTTCTAGGGACATAAATTACATATCTCATATCTTAGATAACCTACTACACTTTTGAAGGCCCTGAAGCACAAGGACAAGGGCATTACCCACAAAATGACCCATTTTGAGAAGCAAACACCTCAATGTATATTCTCTGAGGTATAATGAGTCTTTTGAACATGTCATTTTTTTCTACAAGTTTTCGGAATACGTGGAAAGAAAATGAAAACGTATTTTTTTTTTACACAAAGTTGTCGATTTATAAGATATTTCTAACGCATAGCATGTAAGTACCACAAAAATACACCCCAAAATACATTCTGCTACCCCTCCTGAATATGGCGATACCACATGTGTAGGACCTTTCCACAGCCTGGCCACATAGAGAGGCCCAACATGCAAGGAGCACCATCAGGTGTTCTTGGGACATAAATTACACATGTAATATCTTGACCACCTATTACACATTTGAAGGCCCTGAAGCACCAGGACAATGGAATTACCCACAAAATGACCCCATTTTGAGAAGAAAACACCCCAGTGTATATTCTATGAGGCATAATGAGTCTTTTGAACATGTAATTTATTTCCAAACGTTTTCAGGATATGGAAAGTTGTCCATTTATAAGATATTTCTAACACATAGCATGTAAATACCAAAAAATACACCCCACAATACATTCTGCTACTCCTGAGTATGGCAATACCACATGTGTGAGACTTTTCTACAGTCTGGCCAAAATTTACACATCTAATTTCCTGACAACCTATCGTGTTTTTGAAGGCCCTGGAGCACCAGGACAGTGGAAAAACCCACTAAATGACACCATTTTGGAAAGCAAACACTCCAACATATTTTTTATGAGGCATAATGAGTCTGTTGAACATGTAATTTTTTTCCGCACATTTTCAGAAAATGTGGAAAATAAATGAAACCGTTTTTTTTTTTTTTTACACAAAGTTGTCCATTTATAAGTTATTTTTAACACATAACATGTAAATACAAACAAATACACCCCAAAATACATTATGCTACTCCTCCTGCGTATGGCGATACCGCATGTGTGAGACTGTTTCACAGCCTGGCCACATAGAGAGGCCCAACATGCAAGGAGCACCATCAGGTGTTCTAGAGACATAAATTACACATCTAATATCTTGACTACCTATTACAATTTTGAAGGCCCTGAAGCACCAGGACCATGGAATTACCCACAAAATGACCCCATTTTGAGAAGCATATACCCCAACGTATATTCTATCAGGCATAATGAGTCTTTTTTTCCACATGTTTTTGGAATATGTGGAAAGAACATGAAAACATATTTTTTTACACAAAGTTGTCCATTTATAAGATATTTCTAATACATGTATTTATTTATATAGTGCCGTCAATTTATGCAGCGCTTTACATATATATTGTCCATTCACATCAGTCCCTAACCCTCAAGGGGCGTACAATCTAAGGTCCATAACTTCCATTCATACATACACATACTAGCGCCAATTTAGACAGGATCCAATTAACCTATCAGCATGTCCTTGGAGTGTGGGACGAAACTGGAGTACTCAGAGGAAACCCATGCAGGCACAGGGAGAACATGCAAACTCCAGGCAGGTGGTGCCATGGCTGGGATTCAAACCAACGACCCTAGTATTCCCAGGCGGAAGTGCTAACCATTTAGCCACTGTGCTGTCCTACATAGCATGTAAATACCAAAAAATACACTCCAAAATACATTCTGCTACTCGTCCTGAGTATGGCAATACCATATGTGTGAGACTTTTTCACAGCCTGGCCACATACAAAGGCCTAGCATTCAAGTAGCACTGTCAGATGTTCTAGGGACATAAATTACACATCTAATTTCTTGGCAACCTATCAATTTTGAAGGCCCTTTATATTTCTAACACATAGCATGTACATACCAGGAATTACACCTCAAAATACATACTGCTGAGCAAAGCGTAAACAAAATATTACCTGTGCTTTTAGTAGTGCAGTTGTCCAGGTAGCAGGCAGGGACATGGTCAATGACATCAAAAGGAATTGTCCAGGCAGCAGGCAGGAATACTGTCCATACTCAGTACAGGCAGCAGGAAGAGATATTGTCAGCACAGCCAAAACATTGTTCTAGGCAGCAGGCAGAGATGTGGTCAGCAGCAGCCAAAGGAATTGTCCAAGCAGAGACATGGTCAGCACAGCCAAAATATCTGTCCTGATAGCAGCCAGGAAGATAGTCCATAGTACAGGTAACAGACAGAGCTGTGGCCAGTTCGATGCGGCAGGCAGAGGCATGATGGCAGTAAGTCGGCATCAGGCTGAAAAATCAGGCTTAGGGCCTCAGTCAGGAAAGACCTGGGCACAGGGGTGGAGGTTTCATCCCACCCAATCTCTTCGAAGCCTCCAGACTAACATACCCTTTTCTGGGAATTACAAATCCCAGAGAAAACCAAAAACTTAGTTTTCTTCACTCTATACTGAAGCCTCTCACATATGTGAGACCCCTGTGTTATCTTGAATCCTACTACTACAGTAGCAGGGCAGGAGATCAGTCCAAGCGACAGGGAAAAAAAGTGGTGAATTAACAAACCTACGTCAGTCCAGAAGGAAGGCAGAAATGTGGTTGTTAGTTCAGAAGGCAAACAGAGGAATCATATATATAGGCCAGGGTCAGTTCCAGAACAGGCAGAGGTATGGTCAGTTTAGGTAACAGGCAGAGGCGTGGTCAAATAACAGGCTAGGTTCAGTTCAGGAGCAGGCAGAGGCATGAGGACTGTGAAGACAAATGGCAGGAATTCAGAATTACGTTTACCTTACTTCACTAATATTG